CTTTCACGACACGAACGTCGTGATCGAGCGTGAAAAAGACGAACTTAAGAGACTGACCCTCCGCGGCTTATCGTTGCGCGTACTTATTACTACGCATTGCCGCGTCAGCGCTCAGCATTTCGGTAATTGCATTGCGCGTTCTCGGTACGCTCGGTCGCGGTTAACGTCCTTTGACTTATTGTATTTTCGAATATAATGGTACTGCTTATTCTACGCCGAATGCCTAGTCGGTGCTCGAATGACTATTAATTGGTTCTTACAATGCTTAGTATTGTTGCGGGGTCGACCTCGCGACAATATGTTATTGTTATGCTACGAATTCGAATATTTAATTTGCAATATATAACATTTTATAGATTATTTTATAGATTATGTAACATTTTATAGATATGTCTTTAAATAATTTTTTATCTAAAAATATATATTTTTTTATATTTTGAAAATCAAATGAATTTAAATTTGTTAATTATTCTTTTAATTTCATTCTTAATTTCATTCTTTAATTTCGTTATTCTTTTAATTTATTATATATATACATATATATATTTATTTATATTTGAAATATAACATAAAATTGTTTCTTTTTACATTTTTATTATTTTTATTAGAAATAAGACTTTAATTTTAATTTAGTCGTGTTTGTTTGTAAGTTTGTTAAACAGAAAAATAAGCTTGTCTTTTTATTACTTTAGCATGTTTGTACTGTATTATATCTGTTTGTACTGTATCGTATACACGTACAAACAGTATATACAGTTTTATATAACATATAGTTTTTGTGATACATATACAGTGATGGGAGAAAGTTCCGTAACGGTCAAATATCTTGGAAAATAATGATTATGGAAGAAAATATTCAATACAAAAGTTTTAGTATATCAAGTAATCTATTATACGGTTATATTGAAATGACCTTCATGTGACCTTGAAGGACACCGTGAAGGTCAACTTTGAAATCTTAAACGAAAACTCCTATTTTCTGTTACATATTCTTAAAGCTGGTGTCAAGACGTTTCCGAAACACTGGTTACAAA